ACCTGCAAAGCCTCATGAAGAGCACGTGGTACGTCTCTGTCCCGTATTTAATTCCCCTGAGGAGCCCCATGGGAGTGTCGGTTTCTATACTCTCCTCAAATTCCATCACATTTAAATCCTTCACCGTCACCCAGCGGTAAATCGCCCTGAAAAAAGCATTATGTGTAACAATACATTGAATCCCTTGACCACGATATGCAGTGTTAGACTGCTCCGAAAAATTGTCTTCATATGTTTACATCAACCCTGCCAAGATTAAAACTTGTATTGTATACTTGTACACGAGTTGTGCAAAAACTTCTCGAACACACTCAATAATTTTCTGTGAGATTTGAGAATTATCACCAGATCTTTTCTCTTTATAACAAAGAAATTTTGTCTGTGAAATAATTTTTTTGTAAGTTGCAATGCATTTTATTGTACTCTTCTCATCACTACCGCCATCCTTTGTATCACTATCAGAATGACAATCATTAAGATCACTTCATTAGTGAAGTGAGTGTATTATAGTTGAAGTCTCCAGCATAGAATCAGTATCTGTTAGACTTCCCGTCTAAATGATGATTCCCTGATATACTTAATACTTTTATTTTCAATCAGCAATCATATTTTTCAATTTGAAAGTCTATTTTGATCTGACCAATCTAAAAAGGATTCCAATCCGTCACTATAGAAATCACCCGCCATCACTCCATTAAGGTAAGTAGCTGTCTGTGATTTATTAAGGACATTAAGTGTACATCTAGTTCCTCTAATTATGTCAGCCTATTTCTGGTCACCAAACCTGGGCGATCTTACCTGGCCTTCTCCAAATCCGTGACCAGGTTTTCTGTCAGCTGTTGAACCAAATCCGTGTACGTCGGCTGTTCATTCTCTGCAACCTGTGGAAGAAAAATGTGTTTTCAAACCTGACAATAAACTCTAATTCAGATTTCCTGAACTGTCTGATTGCAACATACGAATAACATATAAATAACTCTGTGGTATACCAACCTTAATTGTTTGTTCGTCAATGTCATTGAACTGTGAGGGGTCCACGTACAGGTCTTTCTTCCTGCAGGATGGGGGATGGGGTGAGGGAATTTCTGTGGGGGCGACAGGGATAATCTCCAAAGCCTCCATCGCTTCCTCTATTTCTTCTGTCTCTCCATTAGGTGTTCCCCCTTCCACTTTCTATATTAACAACATGTTCTATCTTTTACAAAAGTGATAAGATCACTAAATTGCTAATCAAAAGAAAGTTAAACTATAATATAGTTTAATAATTGGTCATAGAAAATCTACAAGACTTGTCTTCAGAAAATATCAGCGTATCGTATATAATATGTGGACCACTGGCTATTTACATGAAGTAGAAAGACCCAAAATAAAAATAAATATAAAGATGCATGAAAATTTTAAGTTATGCTATTACTTCTTTATAACCCCCATCCTCTTCTTGAATGATAATTAGTGCTGCGCTTATCACGTGATTTCACTGAGGGTACTTTATAACCCTGTGAAGTTTTACTCACAGACTCGGCGGCCATTTCCTGTTTTAGTTCCTGTTTGAGTTCGTCCTGTTTCTGAGCCAGTATTTCCAACATCTGACGACTCTGTCTCGCCACCATCGTCGCCGTTTTCTTTTGTTCCTTCTCCTTCAGTCGCAGTGTCATCGTCTCCTGCTTCTTCTTCTTTTTCTCCTGAATGACAACTTCTATCTCTCTCTTCTTGTTCTCAAAGTGTATCGTCATTTGCTAAAAATTTAAAACCAATGGAAATTGAAATTATATTTCTATATCAAAAAAGTTTAAAATATTTCTTGTATGCAATTCAAAAAGATGGAACGAAATCGGGGTTAAGAACAATTGTCTATCATGGCTTGATTATTTTATGCTTCATGTCAAATGTGAAGGTTTCACTGAAAACACTGCTATGAGAAATCAACATACAAAGCCCCTTGAAAGGTCAAAATTTTTAAAACCAAAATATTTAATACATGTACATATATATTCATCATCTATAAAGTGGGGAGCACCTGGCATTCTTAATTCTAAATATGCACAAATGTATCTCAAACTACTTCTTGCAAACGATTTTTTTTTTTTTTTACATTTTTTAATTTCATATCAATATAAATACCTTTCTTTCGCTGTCTTTCATCTTTTTCTTCTTTTGTCCGAATTCTTTGTCGAATTTTTCCGTTAATTCTTTCAGTCTGGACTCCCATTCATGTTGCAGTTCCGCCGACAGACGGCGCTTTTCCTGCTTTCTCTCATTCTGAAATTCGTCCAGTAGACGATCTTCCTCTCTCTTGTATTCTGCCTCCAGGCGGCGCTGTTCTTCTATCAACTTCTTGCGCTTCTTATACTGTAAAGAAGAGGAAATATACATAGCATACAGTATAATTTAATTTCAGGTATAAATAAGGATAACACATTCTGTAAGGATTTTATTTTTTGTGACTACTTTGTAGTAAGTTTGACGGACGTCCTGTAGAACCAGGTCTGAATCCTGTAATGAGTCTTCAATTTGTCACAAATTGTTACACTGCAGTGTTAACACACACGCACACCCTTATTAAAAGATTGTATATGGGATAAACATATGGAGATTACAAACAGATTCAAGATCATATGTCCATAAAACAATACAAAATAGGAGCAGAGCAAACATGGATCTCCGAAAACATCAGACGTGGGATCAGGTGACATGAAGGAGTGAGCATCACCTGCTGACCGGTCACTAGGACTGAGAAATAACAAAATCTATGTTGCTTATTTTTAATTTTAGTGAGCTCAAACTTTATTTGGTGTATGAATTAACAGACATATGTACCTTCCAATCTTTGAATTAAATTTCAATCCATTCATAATTTTTTTTATAATTATTGATAATGCATGGATTATATTATGTAATAAGCTTCACAACTTGTGTACTATTTCAGCTATTCAAATGGCTAGATTTTATCAACTTTTAAATATACATGTAGCAAATATCCAGGAAATTAGATCTTATGCAAAGAAAAATGAATTCTTGTAAATCTCAATTAATCTTGTGTTTCTGTTTCGCATATTTTCTTTAATATTGTCGGAAACATTGACACTGTATTTAATTATTCAAACTCGATCCTCTTATACTAGTATGCAGGGCGGTGGCAATCCTAGAATTAGCTGCAGATCTGTAGTGTTACGGTTTAATATATTTGTCTTTGACCATAATGCTACAGATCCGATAATGCAGAAAAGGTGCAATATACATCGCAATATTTTTTGCGCACTTTTGGGAAGAATTTCTCCACTGCAGCTATCCTAGAGTGCACATGCCTGCAATATTTTCTAAAATTAACAAATATTGCACGTCTTAAAGGTACATGTATACATATTTTATGTGAATGTTTATCGTTGTGCAATGACCCATGGGCATATCGTTTGAAGTCTTCTCTTCACGTTTTTGGCTACATATCCCCGGTATTAATGTATAGTTTTGTTTTTCATGTCATGGCCCACCTTAACCTTGGTTTGTCCGGGATTCCTAACACGGGACTAAATACAGGGTTTGGTCCTTATGGTCCTACATGTATCCTTTTGGCTTGTGGCATAAAAAATTCCTGATGCAGCGATTTGATGTATATTTAGGTTACACGTTATTTTCATTCATACCTTAATTCTTCCTTGAGCAGAGTATGAAAGAATCGTATTTTCCCAGTCTATTTCAAAGAATGATTACATGGCCTTATTTAAAATTAACAATAAACCTTGTGTATTTTAAATGAATATAAACCTATCCGTTTACAGAATTAACCTGAATGTTGGCGCCTGTGAATACAGACTTCCATTTCAGCAGAAGTTTTCTTTTTAACAATTTTCTTTAAAAATTTTACTTCCATATGAGTTTTATTTTGTGTATGTGATTTTTTTTTGCGCATGTATAGAAGATCAATAATTTGATCTTAATTAGCACACAACTGTGATATACAGCTGGAAAGTTTACGATTTTCCGGGATTTCCCGTCGAAGACTTGGAGGCAATAAAAAATCTATTAATATGACATCTGTAGTCTGTCTATTTTATGTCGATATTACGAGACGAAAATACAATACCAAAAGTCATAAAGATGTCGTGCTCGGGATTTTACGCGCCAAAATCGACACGTCATCCCCTGGGGTGGTGACAGACACGCTAGGGCACAATGACCTTCTGAACATGTACACAAGTTTCTTTTGTTTAAGTTACATACAAACCAGATGATTAGAAATTTACATGCTGTTAAAATTAATTTTGTGATTTAATAATATTCATACATCCCAAATAAGGTTTTAATTTAATGTGTCTTGATAATTTTTTTTTATTTCAATGGTCTCTATTTTATTTTTGTAGAATTTCAGTAGAAATTCGTGATTGTCCCAAATAAATGAAAGAAACCAGAGAATTCCTAACCGAGGCAATTGTTGGGGGTGACAGAACCGTATCGTGACTGGGCGAGCATACACACGAAAAACTTGGAACTTTTATCTTAATGAAAGCGACTTATGCTCCAAACACGGTTAAACTTCACCCTGGTTTTATTCCTGCCTAGAGTTTTAGAGATGTTTCAAGAGATCGGGAGCATTAAAGACAACACTGTGTCTAATCGCCGCGTTAATCACTGCCGGGTACTTCTCCGTTTCCTAATATAATGACGATGGGGGGCTCTTTAATTCCAAAACATGAGTTCAGCGGGTACTCGTGAGAAACAAACAGTCGCATTAAGGGCCACGTAATTCCGATAATCTCTTACGATTACAGAGACACCACGCTAATCCAAAGTCAGGGGCTTAATTTAAACCAGACATTTCTGTAGTTCTCAAGTATATTACTGAGTAGGTTTTGGTCATAATTTCAACTTAATGTTCATATGAATCACCCCTCTTTCCCCGTCTACCTTCTCGCAAGTCTTACATTTACTTTTGTGTAGTCGCCTGCGTGGCGCAGTGGTGAGAGCGTCCGCTCTAGTGTCGGAAAGTGAGGAGATATGATCCTTTTGTCGTGGGTTCGAATCCCACTGGAGGACGTGGAAACCAGCCCTTCGGATGAGACCGTATAAACCGAGCTCCAATCTCAAAGAAGACACGAAAAAGATCACTCAATGATCAATGGCCGTTAGTGCCGATTGACAACTTTGTCATGTTGTAAATTTTGTATTTACTGCCATCCGGTAAATTCAAAATTTACAACATGACACGAATATAGGACAAAATTTGCAGCTCTCCACCGGCAAGTGGTGGCGTCTCCATGTGAGTGAAAATTCTCGAGAGAGACGTTAAACAACATACTAAGTTTACAATACTTAAATGCATAGGCGTCGGAAGCAAATTGAAAGTGGGGGAGGGGGCTAAACCAACGAAAAAAGGTAAAACCCAATTCTCAATGCATATTTTATGTATATATTTACAAAAAATATACGGTTCCGACGCCTATGTTTTGTGTATGTGTTTAACATTATGCAGTCCAAATCATTCGCGTGTGACAGTGGGAAGACGAGAGTCGTCAATGAATAGTCGACGAATATGATGGCACATTTCTTTGTATTTTACAAAGTTTAAAAATTTATATTTGCTCTTGTCTGCAATAAAACTGGTACTAGAATATCACCTGTTCAAACGGTCTTTAATCAGTTCATCTGCACTTTTAATACAAATATAAGTGTACCCTCTCTCTTTCAAAACACGAAATGAATAACTTTACATGTTTACCACGCATCCTACATTTGTAGAGTTAATTTTAAGTGTTTATTTGCATGATAAAAACAGTCCAGGTCTAATGGACTTCTCAGACCATGAAATCTGATTAGCTCCGCCATTCTCCGGTGACAGGGGGGTATAAATATAGAACCTAACCTGCTCAACAACTTCTCTTATGTCAACAGATTTCAGTCCTTTTTATGGGCCCCGTATCAACTTTTTCATTAACAAAAGACTTGGAAATCCACTTAAGAAAGTGTCGACGTACAATACACATTATATCCCCTCCTGTCAAGCCACGCTCGGTATGTAAAACATCAAAGATGTTATGTATATATTGTTTATGATAAAGGTATTCCCCATACAGATATGATTTCAGTTTACCTAATGAATAACATGGGAATTACACCAAGAAAGTAACTAGGGCTATCGCGATTGAGCCTGATTGTGCCGTTTTCTTTCGGAGTGACCGGGTCCGAGTTGTCCGGGGGGTTATCGGGGTCCGGGGACCCTCTTGTTTATCGGTGTTTGATACACAGTATGTACAATAATCCTCGGCAAACATAAGCCGATTAGATCTGTTTGGACTGTAGTGTATTCACAGTATTGGTAATCAATAAGAAACGCATGAATAAAACATGCCACGACTAAGGAAAGAACTCGTGGCTGTTTACTAGCATTAAATAATGTGAGCTGGGATATTTTATAGAATGAAAAAGTTATGAGAAATGCAAGTTCATGTTCGTGACAACCCCCCCCCCCCCCAACCAACCAACCATGAAAATGTGTTGTGATTTCAAAAAACTTTAACAGATTAAGGGGAGATGTAAGCAAGGAATGTACTCTGGACAATTGTGGGAGGCCGCCCGGGGAGGGTGTTCGGAGTTCATAAATCACTAAAAATCAGACTGGTATAGAAATGGAGAGGGGGTGGTTCTGGGGATACTTTCAATATTTGGCGGGTAGTGATGGGGGAGATACTTACAATATTTGGCGGGTAGTGATGCTTGTCGAGTTTGCGCTGGTAGCCCTGTCGGAGAAGTTGCGCCTCTATGGGGCCCTTTATGTACAGAGCATTGGCGTCAATATCCACCCCCTTGTGAAGAGATTCAGCTGTTGCACGCTCCGCCACGTAATCCTGGGTTTTGGGTACGGTGGTGGCGCGTTTGATTGCCACCGCCTCGTAATTATAGTTAGGTTTCCTCAGGGTTCCGGCCAGACGAACCTCCGAATTCATCTTTTTACTCATCTTCTTGTAGACATTTTGACTGTTGATGGCGTTTTTGATTCCCATGGCTCGTTCGTCAATGTGTGTCCCCCCGATTCGAGGAACGTGCGTCCCACAGTATACCTCGCGATCCGAGGCATCGGTCTGATTGGAGAAATAGTTCTTGATGGTCAGAAACTGACCACAGACTACACACTTGAAACAGTTCCTGTGGAACACTACTTCGTGGACCGGGCCGATCTTTTCTGCGTGGTATACCTGTGCTTTACACCTGTGACAGGAGTTCCCTTCTGTGAGGGTGGGGCGGAATAGGGAGGAAAGTCGCTGGTACCCCCGCTCCACGGATTGTGATTCCGCCGTGGCGACTGCCATTATTTCCCGGCTGAGTTCACAGAGATCGCTGATTCAATAGGCCATAACAACGTCCTGACACCAAACACAATATAAAAATATGTAAATCTAATACACCTCAGAAGTATCTTAATCACGAATTTGAATCACACTTCAATCAAAATATCGACAGAATGTATATTCCCTTGTATGAACTTTCTCAACTCCGGGATGAGATCCGTTCTTTTCCGATCCCCGAGATCTGTGTGTGAAATTTCTAAAGCGGGCGATTCCATTCTTCCGTCAGGTAAGCGCGCACTAGACCGTGACCATTGACACAGGTACGTAATTTAGGTAACTGATCCATACCTGAGGTAACGAAATACCTGACGTCCTACACACTCAGGACAAACAATTAACAATCAACTCCAGATAAAGGTTTTATCTATGTAATAACCCCAGCCCACTAATTTACTACCACATTCGGCATTACAATTAATTAGTGTTTTTCAAGGACGTATAGGTAAACGTTTAGCTATTTATATTTAATGACAACATTTATACATTTAAATATCTCGAAGTGTTTTAAATTTTTTTTTCCAAAATGATTTTAAAGAATTTTAAAATTAAAAAAAAACCTTCAAGGTAAATATTACGATCTCATCAAATTCCACTCATTTGTTTTAATAAAGATCAAAAATGTAAATATTTGTTTAAAATTCAAAAAAAAGTTTCAACGTGTTCTGTTTTCGGTGTAATTGGTCATTCTATAACAAGTCTAAATAGCCATGTTTGTCGGGCTGACCTGACCGAATTTTGGGTCTTTTAATCCTCTGAAAGCTTAAGGAAAGATATATATCGCCTGTCATCGGATCGGGTAAATCTAACAGATCAAATCGCAAATCATTGTCAATTTTCTCAGTATACCATGGAACCACCTCGAGCGTGAAGTAATGAGGATATCCCGAAGTCAATAGAGAGATACAGAGTCTTACAGTACAGGTATTGACAGGGTAATACAGTTAGTGGTACAGTCCCGAGAGATATCGATATTTCCTCCCAGGTCTTCTGTATATTTGTCACAGACTGCGCTTAATGATTGATTAAAAAAAAAAAAAATTTTGACTTTATTGTCTATAGTTGATTTTTATGGTAGAAGAGAATATCAATTATTTAGTTAAACCATCTCAGGCTCGAAATAAGACATCAAAGGGTTTTGCTACACCTGTTTCATGCATGGATATTTTACTTACTATAAAGTATAACAGCAGGAAAAAAATAAACGGTATATAACAAACAATATACACTTTGTTTATCATTTCTCAAATGATTATCCAGTATACACAAAACATGCCCTGAGTATTTTTAAGACAAACAAATCAATCCATGTTAAGTACAAATAAGTTGATGCTACAAGATTTCAACAGCATAGTTTAACGTCATCTTTTTCCAAATTTTGGTCCTTATAATTACCTTATTTTCAAATAAACCTTTCGCTGGGTAAGTTTTATCTGACATTGTTAGGTCATTGTAAATTTGACTAGAATTTACCTAGTCTATACCTGATAAATTACAGGGGGCACACAGTGGGTGTGTCCGGTCAACAGGGGATGTTTACTCCTCCTAGGCACCTGATCCCACCTCTGGACGGGTCATGTTTTATGCTCTTTTCAGAGTTCCTATTCTAAACTAGATTAATGAGATTGATAACTGTTTGTTACCTTTACGTTTTACAGCAATTTCCTTTTGGTTTAGCAACCATTCCTGTAGAAGAAAGACAATACTGGTTCGAGAGTCCCCAACGGGATTTGACTCCGACCCATCCCCACTTGTTGTGAAATGAAACATAAAGAGATAATGAACAGTATTCAAGATCAAAAGTCCATAAAACAATACAAAATAGGAGCAGAGAAAACACGGACCTCCGAAACATCAGAGGTGGGATCAGGTGCCATGAGGAGTAAAAATATCAAAAACTCGAGGTTCTTTTCCGCAAAAAAAAAACAAAACATTGAATTTCCTCTGTATTGAAAAAAAATAATTAATTTGACGTATTATACGTGCAAAGTTTTTCTGCGTCTTTGTTTGGTGTGTTTTTGTGTTAACTTACATTTTTTTTGAAAGGACAGCATAATGAATAGACGTAAGAAGAAGAGCCTACACCACGTTTATACCTCATAATATGTTTTACGGCGTGACCGTTGAGGCGAGCGCAGTTGTACCATCAAAACACTTGAAAAATTGATCAGCCACTTCAAACATCAAGTCGCACGAGAATTTCGACTAGCTTTGACGTCACATGACGTCACGGAGCTCGTCGGAGCTTACGGAAACGGCCGAGCGTCTGTTTTAAACTATAGATCTAGCACAATTTCGGTCGAAAAACATTGCAGAGTTATTATGTTCCCCAAACGAAGTTGGGGAACAGATTGTTTTTACTCTGTTTCTTATTATGTTCCCCAAACGGAGTTTGGGAACATATTGTTTTTACTCGGTTTCTTATTATGTTCCCCAAACGAAGTTGGGGAACATATTGTTTTTACTCTGTTTCTTATTATTATTATTATTATTATTATTATTTTTCTTCTTCTTCCTGGGTACTTTTTTCTCCGGGAATGATCTTGTAAACTGTTCGTCCGATGTAGGTAAAACCTTTTTAGGGTCAGTAGACATGCTATGTAGATTTGCGGAATCAAGGTCATTTTGCGCGCACGTGCTTGCAAGAGCGCGCACGCGCAACACGTGAAATGACCAATATAATAGATAGAGCCGCAACTTTTCTTTTTTTTTGATGAAATGCTTTGAAACTCATAATGTGAGGATATATTAGTAGTATAGACATGACGACATGGTCAAAAAAGCAAGATCTCACGCGCATGCACGTGCGCTTCGCTCTGATTGGCTGAAACTAAAGTCTCAATATCTTTCTTGTTTTTTGACGAAATCCTTTGAAATTTTAAACATAGCCATGCATTATGATATCCTACAACGTGATATATAGCAATTATCATGAAAACACGTGCGTGCACGTGCTCTGCAATCTGATTGGCTTAAACTTTAAATAGCTAAAGCTCCCTTGGTTTTCAACCAAACAGGATGGGGTTTGGAACATAGATAGATATAATAGACTCCTACAAGAAGGTATGGTCACCATGCATATGCATACACATGCGTGTACGTGCGCTGCAATCTGATTGGTTGAAACTTTAAACAGCTATAACTCCCTTGGTTTTCAACCAAACGGGGTGGAATTTAGAACAACGATAGATGTAATGGACTTCTATAAGAAGGGATGGTCACATGCCCGTGTATGCACGTGTGTGCACGTGAAATGAGCAAAATCAAAAATTCACTTGAATGAGCGTATTTTTTAAAAATATTTTTGGATTAACTACTTTCATATTTAGTATATTTAAATATATAGATCATGTAGACATTAAGCACATGCATTCACATGCGCACGCACGCAATGCCAAAATTTGAATGAACTTGGTACACTTCTGGGTAAACGTTGTTAAAGTCTAAAAAACAAAGAGTTTGTCTTATTTAATGATGCTTACAGGGAATATGGCACCAAAAGGGAGTTGGGGAGCGTTTGGGGAACATCTGTAACGGTCCCCGTTACAATTAGCACTAGTTATTATTATGTTCCCCAAACGGAGTTTGGGAACATATTGTTTTTACTCGGTTTCTTATTAGGGTCTTCCGTCTCCAACGGAAGACCCTTCTATTATTCTATTGTTTCTTTTTCACTTTTATTATTATTATTATTATTTTTTTCTTTACACATTTTTGTGCAGACGATTTCTCAGAGATGCTTGAGTGGATTGACTTGAAATTTTCAGGAATGATGTATCATGAACTAAAGCTGATACTTTTTTTTTATTTTCCGAAAAATCACTTCCGGTCGGAAGTTATCGCCCTTTAATCGAATTTTTAGTGACCATTTTGTCCGGACAAAAACTCAAGAACGACAAAAGCTAGAATGCTGTCATTTTCAGGCCTAATAGACAACATATTGTAGTTTTGTACCTATCCTTTCAAATCTTTCGGAAGTGCTTTGTAAGGAAGCTCGGTAGGGGTCAAAAATTAGGACACAAATCATGACTGAAATTTGGAGACATTTTGCATCATATCTTTTAAAGTACAATTATTTTGTGAAAACATACTGAGCAATATTTGTGCAAAATGACAAGATCTTTCCTATGATTTCAAGAAAAAAGTGCTGACTCATCACATTAGGGGCCGAGAGGGGCCAAAAGTCTTTATTCGATAACTCTGTAACAGTCAACATTTTGTTATACATTACTGAAGCAAAAATGTTTATCTCAACAATCTACAACTACATATTATAATTGTAATGTCGTATGTTACATAACTAGGGGCCACAAGGGGACAGAATGCTAAATCTTTGACGCTTTATATCTCAAAAGTGGGAAATATTTTGATAAGTAATATTGAACAAAAGATGTTCAAAATAATGTTTTAAACAATATGCAACCTTTTATTTTTCGCTAAAAGTCCCCATTAGGGAGTTGAAGGGTTGGCCCCTAAATATTTCTTTTGCAAATAACTCGAAAACGAAAAAGAATCTCTGAATAGTTATTGAACTAAAAGTGTTCAAAATCCTAAAAGCTTCAAGATGAAATCAAGAAAAAGGGGCTGGGCACTCAAATTAGGGGCCAAAAGGGGCTAAAAGTCTTTTTTCGATAACTCTTTAACAGTCAACATTTTGTTATACATTACTGAAGCAAAAATGTTTATCTCAACATTTTACAACTATATATTATGATTGTAATGTCGTATGGTGCATAATATGGGGCCATAAGGGGCCAGAATGCTTAATCATTGACGCTTTATATCTCAAAAGTGAGAAATATTTTGACAAGTAAAATTGAACAAAAGATGTTCAAAATCATGTTCTGAAAAATATGCAACCTTTCATTTTTCGCTAAACGTCCCCATTAGGGAGTTGTAGGGTTGGCCCCTTAATATTTCTTTTGCAAATAACTCGAAAACGAAAAAGAATCTCTGAATAGTTGTTGAACAAAAAGTGTTCAAAATTTTAAGAGCTTCAAGATGAAATCAAGAAAAAGGGGCTGGGCACTCAAATTAGGGGCCAAAAGGGGCTAAAAGTCTTTTTTCGATAACTCTTTAACAGTCAATATTTTGTTATACATTACTGAAGCAAAAATGTTTATCTCAACAATCTACCACTGTATATTTTTATTTTAATGTCGTATATTACATGATAAGGGGCCAAAAGGGGCCAGAACACTAAATCTTTGACGCTTTAAATATCGAATGTGAGAAATATTTTGACAAGTAATATTAAAAAAAGATGTTCAAAATCATGTTCTGAACAA